GAAACACTTGAGTGTTAGGTTCTGAATGTTCTTGAGATAATTTGTGGCCTATGGAGAAGGCCAGATGCAGAACATGACAGCAATCCATTTTCCTTTCAACACAGCCCCATTAATTGGATTTTTCTTCCCTGAGTTATGTTCTTTAATAGTTATACATAGTGTAAGAATTCTTTTGAGGCCAGGCATGGTGCCTCACGCCTGTAATCCTAGCACTTTGGGAGGCCAAGTTGGGCTAGATCACTCAAGGCCAGGGGTTTGAGACCAGCCTGGCCAACATGGTAAAACCCTGTCTCTTCTAAAAATACAAAAATTAGCCAGGCCTGGTGGCCCTTGCCTGTAATCTCAGCTACTCAAGAGGCTGAGGCAGGAGAATTGCTTGAACCTGGGAAGCGGAGGTTGCAGTGAGCCAAGATCGTGCCACTGCACTCCAGCCTGGGCGACAAAGACTCAGTCTCAAAAAAAAAAAAAGAATTCTTTTGAAAGAACATGTACTATGCCTCTCTTTTTGCACTCCAGCAAACCCCACCCCTGACTTTGGCCTTCAAGACTCTACAGTCTGATCCCTTCCTCCTCTCCTATGGGGTTTATACCCCCGTCAGCTGGTGCCCCGAGGGCCTACCTGCCAGTAGCCTCCTGGGCTGGGACTCCCCACAGCTTCTCTCCACAGGGTCTTTGCTTCTCTGGTCTCCACGTGACTGGCTTCCTTCTTGTCCTCCAGCGTCCCCTCTGAAATCAGGTCTTCCCTGTCACCCTGTGTCCCATACCTCCCACTTCTCTAAGGCAGTAGCTCCAACCTAGGGGTGACTGTGCACCCCAGGGGACATTGACAATGCCTGGGGACATTTTTGGTTGTGACGTCTCAGGAAAGTGGTGCTCTGGCATCCAGTGGGTGGGGGCCAGGGTGCTGCTAAGCATAGTACAATGCACAGGAGAGCCCTGACCACGAAGAAGGGGCCAGCCCTATGAGGGTGCAAAGAATTCCCAAACCCTGTTCCAGTGGTTTTATTGTTCTCTTCCCTCTTTATTATTCTTTTCTGCATAGCCTTTATCTCTCAGCGCATGGGATTATCTTATTCATTTGGGACTTCTCTATAGCTTGTACCCTGCAGCCCTTACCCCTGATGGAACAGAAGCTCCACTTGGGAAAAGGTGTCCTCTCGGTCAGCTCTGCACCACACACGCCCGGTCCAGGGAGGGCTTGCCTGGAAGCTGCAGAGCTCTAGGGCCTTCATTTACAAGGGATTCACCTGGTCTTCAGATTGCTTGCCCATCTTACTGAGGATTTGACATACTATACAATGGCAATCAATTTGCGTAAAAAGTTGTAAGATAGTTTTATGGGTTTTTTTTTGTTTCTCAGAGAGGACACCCCGACCCCCATCCAGGGGTGTTTTCCAACACCAGCAAACTCTCCAATTCCAGAACCGAACTGATTAACCTACCACTCAATTCAAGTGTGCCCCTACCAGAGGCAGCCTCAGACTCTACAGGTGTGAGGGCTTGATCCCACCAGACTCCCCACTTCAGACGCCAGTCCCAAGTATTGGGTCCCCAGGTTATCCACGCTTCTGTCCAAATCGGCTACAAAGGCAAGAGAGTCCCACAACCTCCTCAGGTTCAGTAATTCACTAGAATGATTCACAGAACTCAAGAGAGTGCTTGACTTATCATCAGTCTATGATAGGACACAATGCAGAAACAGGCAATAGATGGGATGCATGGGGGGAGTATGGCGGATGGTGTGTGGAGCTTCCATGCTGTCTCCCTTCACTCCACTCTCCCAGCACCTCCAAGGGCTCCATCAGCCTGGAAGCTCCCTGAGCCCTTTGGTTTAGGGGTCTTGATACAGTTCCATTACGAAGGCATGATTGGTCAAATCGTTGGCCACTGGTGATGGACTTAATCCATAGCCCTTCTTCCCCACCTGGAGTCTGGGGGATTGCTGAAAACTTCTCACCGAGGCTTGGTTTTTCTGGTGACCAGCCCCCAACCTGGAGCCATCCCGGCTCAAAGGATCACCTCATCACCATACACTCAGGTATGGCTGAAAGGGGCTTGTCATGACTGACAAAAGGTGCTTCTCTCACCCCATCACTTAGAAAAATTCCAAGGATTGCCAGGCACGGTGGCTCACGCCTGTAATCCCAGCACTTTGGGAGGCCGAGGTGGGTGGATCATGAGGTCAGGAGTTCAAGACAAGCCTGACCAAAGTGGTGAAACCCTGTCTCTACTAAAACTCCAAAACTTAGCCAGATGTGGTGGCAGGTGCCTGTAATCCCAGCTACTCAGGAGGCTGAGGCAGGAGAATCGCTTGAACTCAGGTGGCAGAGGTTGCAGTGAGCTGAGATGGCACCACTGCACTTCAGCCTGGGTGACAGAGTGAGACGCTGTCTCAAAAAAAAAAAAAAAAAGAAAAGAAAGAAAGAAAAATTCCAAGGATTTTAGCACCTGTGTACCAGTACCCAGGATGAAGACCAAATACTCGTCTCTTTATTTCTGCATCACATCCCTCAGCTTGTATTGGCTTTTGCTCTCCCCAAACTGGTCGTGCACAACACTGAGTTGCTCTTCAAAAGGTATTTGTTGAACAAATGAATGATCGAATGAAAGAATGCTAGGAGGTGAGAAAACACTGTATCTGAGTGTTTTTCTAAGGTCCTTACAGCATCTTGAATTGCCTCCTCAGTTCTTTCTGTTTAGGAAGCAGGACCGGCAGAGGTGGGCTGGGTAGAGGGGGAGGCTGCCCCGCAGACATGCTGTGTCCGCCTGGTCCTGGAGCCCCATCTTCTCACCTCTCTGCTGAGACTGTCAGCTGCTCATTTTTTTTTACTTTGCTTGAAATAAGCTTCCCCCGCTCTTGTTTAGGAATGTTTTGCCCATTCTTTTGAGTCCAGATTATGTGCATTCCTGTCTTGGAGCTTCAAAGTCCATGTTTTGTTTGTTTTTTAAAGAATCTAATTTGATTTTCTGCAGCAGAAAGACGGAGGGTGGGAACTCCCTCCCTGCTGAGCTGCTGGTTGGAGTCGCATTTTTAACTCCAGCTTGATCTTGTCTTGGACACGTGAAAAAATGTTTTCTTGGCTTTAATGATGGGGTTTCCAAGTAGGGGATCTTGCCCTTTTGTTTCTTTAGTTTGGAAGAATTGTTTGTAGCAAGCGATGGGTCGATGGGTCGGGGTGGTTGAGCCAGTTTGAAGCAGAGGCTGAGGCTTGAGGTTTCTGACATGTCCCTTCAGCTGCCTTCAGGGATGAGAGATGGGGGTCGGGCCTGAGATGTCTGGCCTGGCTTCCCAGAACTGGCCCCTTCCTCATCCCCGCCCGGCGCCTCTGCAGGACTCAGGTCTCAGCCTTTACTGACCGGCCTTTCTCAAACTGGCTCCTCCATACCCTAGTGAGGCTCCGTGGCCAGTTATGTTCTTCCAACTTTGTGTATTATATTCCTCTCTTGTGGATTCACAGGGCTTATTAGCATATCAAAGGCCCTGAAAAGTTCAGCTGTAAAGGATTTTGTGTAATTTTGTCCATTCCACATTTTCTCCAAATAATTTAAGCACAGAACACTCACCAACGGCAAGCGGAACATTTTGTGGGAGGAAGACGTTTTGGGAAACACAGCTTGGCTGTTTCTTGGCCACCGTATTTTGAGAAAACATGGGCTTTTCAGTCCAAGGGGCATGAACACTTCTTTGGTTGAGTTCTGATTGTTTAATCCTTCAGCCAGGACCTGGAGCTCTTCGTGTGGGGTGGGTTAATGCCACCTCTGTGGAGACAGTGAGGACTGTTTGAGGGGTGGCGTGTGTGGAGCTGGAGATGAGTCACCACTGTTGGGTAATTCTCAATTGTTAAGGAATAATCATGTGGTGTAGGATCCCCCATCTTTGATTCCATTTCAAATGCTTTTGTTATTCACTGACAATTAAAAATCATCATAGGAATAGTTGACGATGCTATTGTTATCAATGCTGTTTACCTTTTATGGTAGCTAAATATGTCGGGCATTCTTCATTTACATGTAGTAGCTAATTTAGTACTTGTTAAGGTGCTCTTATTATCCTAATTTTGTTAGTGAGGAAACCAAAGCTCAGAGAGGTTATACGCCTTGCTCAGGGTCACACAGCCAGTTAGAGGTGATCAACCACTGCTATAAACTCAGTAGGTCTTCTTTTTTGCTTATCCATGGCTCTTTTTATGGCATCTGCAAAGAAGTGTCATTTGGGCAACAATGTATTTTATAACCACAAGTTTCTATTAATGGGTTTTTAAGAATCGTATCTTGCTCGCGATGATGAAAGTGAAAAATTATGTCAGGGTCTGAAACTCTGTGTCACTCGAGGGAATACTGTACATCAGATTTAATTGCTTAATAACTTAAAGTCAAGTGGTTTTTTAATATAATACATTCTACTGAAGGAGAGACTCATTTGTTTCTAAATTTTCATTAACTTTTGCTTCCTTAATCTGATAATAAAGGTTAACTCTAAGAAAGAGACTGCTGATGCCAGCGAGAGGAAAAAACACATTTTCTCTGCCTGTTCCCATTCTAACTATCCTCCTTAGTAGTCCTCAGATTTTCATTGACAGAAAAGCACTGATATTTCAATTCGTCCCTCAACTTTGTAGTCATTGACTGTGCATGAATCCGAGAATGATCACAACATCCTGGGATTCAGAGATCCCGTAACTGAGATGTATCAAGGCAGGGGGAATAGGGGAGACATGGACCATGCGGAAAATGAGAGGTTTGATGTGATTCTGGAGGTGCTGGTATTGGGGTCATGTTTGGTGGCAGAAATTGAGCCCCAAAGCCAACTGCAAGAACCTGAAACCTCTTCCTTTATCCTTACGATTTTCTATGACTTGCTTAGAACCAGGCTGGCTTGGCTGGACTTAGAAGTGGAAAAGAGAGAGAGCCTCTATCTCTCCTTGGAGGATGAGCCTTGGGTTATTGCTATTCTCACACAGCGAAATCAATATAATAAAACTTCTTGCCTTTTTGTGTAGGAAATCTGGCATTTTTAAAAGTTTGCGCCCCATGAAGAGGAAATATTCCAAAGGCACTTGGGATGTAAAAGCAGAGATCTTCACAGATGTCTCCATGGATGGCATGCCAATCTATCCATCAATGAGAAGACCATGATTTCTTTTAATTTCGTGTGTGTTTCCACATTCCCCAGCGAGAATTCTTCCACTTTTTTTGGTACCATGGGAAAAACCTGAAGGGCAGGCAGAGTTGCTCCCGAACTTGTGAACTTCTGTGAGGTTGCAGCAGCTCTTGCAGAACATGACTTTTGGACATTGCTTCCTTTTGTTTCCTTTCGGAGCTGAACCAAAGAATGTACTTCCTCTTTCTCTAGTGCTTTGGTGTCTGCTTCTTTCTGTATTTGTGCGTTTTGTCCATCTTATATAATCACAAGACATCCTTAAGGTTTTCCAGCACAATTTGCAAACATCCAGACTTCTGGGGGCCCATCCATGGCTCGGTAAGCCCAGGGCACTGGTGCTACCATGAGGCACTGCGTTAACTGCTGCATACAGCTGTTACCCGACGGCGCACACAAGCAGCAGGTCGACTGCCGAGGGGGCCCCCATCACGGTCACCAGGTGTGCCCCACGTGCAAAGGAGAAAACAAAATTCTGTTTCGTGTGGACAGTAAGCAGATGAACTTGCTTGCTGTTCTCGAAGTGAGGACTGAAGGGAACGAGAACTGGGGTGGGTTTCTGCGCTTCAAGAAGGGGAAGAGATGTAGCCTTGTTTTTGGACTGATAATAATGACCTTGGTAATGGCTTCTTACATCCTTTCTGGGGCCCACCAAGAGCTTCTGATCCCATCACCTTTCCGTTATGGAGGCTTCCCCAGCAACCCCAGCTTGATGGACAGCGAAAACCCAAGTGACACAAAAGAGCATCACCACCAATCCTCTGTAAATAATATTTCATACGTGAAGGACTATCCAAGCATTAAATTAATTATCAACAGCATCACAGCCAGGATTGAGTTCACAACCAGACAGCTCCCAGACTTAGAAGATCTTAAGAAGCAGGAGTTGCATGTGAGTAGCTTTGTGCTAATCTTGACTGATTGGTTGATTTTTAGAAATGAGTGCTTTTCTTTCTATCATCATCTTTGGGAACACAGAAGGAAAATGACTAAAAAATGTCTCAGATGTAGCAAGGATCATTTGACAGCCTTATGGATTTGAATGCACTGAGAGAGTGCTGTTTGCTTAGGCTATGGAGTGCCAGGAAGGGAATCTGCTGTCCTGAACGCGGGGCTAGGCATGTTCAAGGGCCGCCGACTCTCATTATTGCATTCCAGGACTTCTTGCTTGACATGTGGTGCTGGTAGTTAAAAGTTGCTTTTGCAGATCACCATCATTTGGGATTTTAAAGTTGAGTTAAATTTGATTTTCTGCTTCTATTCTATATTTTAATCTCTAGTGGTAATTTAAATATACAACTAGTAAAAGGATTCTTTTTAATTACTGCGTGTGCATGTGTGTTGTGTATCAGAAAGGTGTAAATTATGGTGGAATGGATTTTGATTAAACTTCTTATTCTCTCCGAGTTTTTTTTTTTTTTTTTTTTTTTGTTCTTTTTTTTTTTTTTTTTTTTTTTGGTGGGGAAGTGGTGGTGAGAAAAGCACAGTCCCTGACCACCTACCGTTTTGCTTTATTTGTTAATCATTGTCAAATACTCAAATTTGAACACGGCCGTTAGTCTCAGGGCATGTTCCCATTGTACTTAGATTCTTTCGTTGCTCATTTTCCCCTCTTCTGTGTCACTCCTCCTCTTTCTGTTTCCTTGCAGATGTTTTCAGTCATCCCCAATAAATTCCTTCCAAACAGTAAGAGCCCCTGTTGGTATGAGGAGTTCTCGGGGCGGAACACCACCGACCCCTACCTCACCAACTCCTACGTGCTCTACTCCAAGCGCTTCCGCTCCACCTTTGACGCGCTGCGCAAGGCCTTCTGGGGCCACCTGGCGCACGCGCACGGGAAGCACTTCCGCCTACGCTGCCTGCCGCATTTCTACATCATCGGGCAGCCCAAGTGCGGGACCACGGACCTCTACGACCGCCTGCGGCTGCATCCCGAGGTCAAGTTCTCCGCCATCAAGGAGCCGCACTGGTGGACCCGGAAGCGGTTTGGTGAGTGCTGGGTCCCAGGCCCTGCGAGGGCGGCAGGAAGAGACTGCACAATTCCCTTGTCAGGAGGCTGTTCCCATGCGAAGACCCGGCGGGGTCTGGAACCCGGTTCCCAGCCATGCAGTGAGCATTGCTAGCTGTGTGCAGGACAAGGGGACGGGTCAGAACCGGCAGCTGTTTTTGTCCCGAAAGCCCAGGTACATGAGCCCAGCAGTGAGTGCCAGCACCAGTAAGGGCCCCCAAGGAGGGTGTAATTTGGGCTCTTGGCTCCCAGCTTTGTGCCGTTGCTTCAGGCCTCAGCTTCTCTGACCTGCCCTGTCTGCCTTATGGGTTCCATATGGAAACCACATGGAGATCACTGTAGAGGCCCTGCTCTCAACCCTTTGCTGCAGGCTGACGGCAACCACCGCCCATCCCTCTCTGCTCCAGCTCAGCCCCAGGCACCTGCAGCCCTCAGGTCACTGTTTCCTCTCTGTAACCTTTTCCTTGTGCCAGGAGAGGTTTGGTCACTGGAGCTGAGGCGTGATACGTGCCTGTTGTCAACCAGAGACCGGGCAGGCCACGAGGGTGTTTTCCAGTAATGGACTCAGGTTACCTAGAAGGGAATCTTCAAAGTTTTACTTAGACCAACTCTTAATGTGTTTCCTGACACGCATTTGCTTTCATCGTTTTGATGTTCATCCTACAGTGAGCTAAAGTGTAAATGTTTCTTTTGTGGTTTAGCAGCAGCCGCTGTAGGAGCCGGGGTCTCAAATCCATATGCATTTGCTGGACGTGTCTAAACACACTCTCCTGCCATAGGGTGCTCCTCCGAGGCTCACAGTGATTTCCCCTTAATGAAACCAGCTTCCCACTGGCAGGAAAGGAGGAAGAACAGGGGTGGGCCTCTGGAATCTAGTCTTCAGTGTCACCTTGAACCTCTTGTTGCTTTGACCGGGGACGTTCTCTTTCCAATTTCCATTGACCTCAGGAGTTGTGGTTTTGGAAAGTGGATTTTTAAATGTTTGCAAGTGAGATTTATTCATTTTTTAGGCAGGGGGTGAATTTAAGCTGTATGTGGCCGATGCCAGAATCCATTTCTGTCTAGGGTGTGATCAATTCCCCTTATTGTTTGGACAAAAGGCAGGGTATTTGATTGAACAGGGCAGGAGAGAGAACATCAGACGGATGCTGGCTGGGCCCCATGAGGAAGGCATCATGGAGTTTATAGGATACTGCCCTCCTCTCTCCATGGGCTGCCCTTGGTTCACTCTCCCTGTTTGATACAACACATGCATCCTGGGTGTCCTTGCTGCCCAGCCACTTACGAGTCCCACCTGTACACAGAATAACCAGCCCCAGACTCTGTCCCTCCAAGCAGACACGTTTGCTCTTGAATAGGTGTGCCAGCATTTAAGCTGCAACTGTCTAGCTTAGCTGTGGTGTCTTCCAGCACTTGAAGTATGCACGGATTGAAAGAGGGTAGCCAGGCTACGTAGATGCCCCACCCCGATCCCCAGCGGCCCCTTCTGAAGCTCACCTGGGCTGAGCCTCTTGCTGCAGCCACGCCCTTTAGTCCTCTTCATCTCCCTCTCTGGTCGCTGTCTGGGAGGCCATCACCCCAGCAGTAGCAACTTTGTCCCTAGTGTCTCCTGCTTCTTGGTTCTTGTAGGAATCGTCCGCCTAAGAGATGGGTTGCGAGACCGCTACCCTGTGGAAGATTATCTGGACCTCTTTGACCTGGCAGCACACCAGATCCATCAAGGACTGCAGGCCAGCTCTGCAAAGGAGCAGAGCAAGATGAATACAATCATTATTGGTAAGGCTTCTGTGTCACTCTCGCAGGGCTGGCACCCTCCCTGGGGTCCTGGCCCAGCTCTGCTTCACTGGCAGCACATTTGCATGGTGGCAGCAGACTTCCTTTGAGCCTCCTCTTCTCCACCTGGCCGGCACTCTTACCGCTACATAGTGTTCACATCATTTGAACAGTTACTATGAAGCGGAAATGTTGGCTTTCTAATTCTATGGAGACTTAAGGACAACTGAAGGTTTTCGTGAAAAGTTGCCATTTCTTTGTTTTTAAGAAATTAAGCAGGGATATTGACTTCTTTTCCTGATGTCCTGACCTGATAAGTTTGCATGGGGAGTTATAAGTGCAGTTAACTGGTTAGTCATCGATTTGCTGCTTGGAGCTTTTGTAATCCCTGGCAACTGGGACCATACAAGACGGAGGCCGCTTCTCCTGAAATAGACTCAGCCCCGACACATCGCCTATAACTAATTGCTGTTTAAAAAGCCTGGCCCCTGTCAACCTAATGCCTTTGGGCATTCAAAATGAGGTTGATTAATAACAATTTGTTTTAAACATTCACAAGAATATTTTGTAAGAAAACTTATATATTCACTCTTTTTAAAATTTATTTTTTATTGTATAATTTAAGTTGTACAACATAACATGTTTTGATGGGCGTAGAGACAATGAAATGATTACTAGTCAAGCAAATTAACACAGCCAATTTTTTTGACAGTTACTTTTGTGTGTGGGTAGGTGGTGTGTGTGTGTGTGTGTGTGTGTGTGTATGTGTGTGTGTATTAAAAGCACCTGAAATCTGCCCTGGAAAATTTCTAGCATATGATACAGGATTAATAACTACAGGTCACATGCTCTACCATAGATCTCTAGACTTGTTATTTGTCTGACATAATTCTTTTTATTGGATTTAGCTTAGAAGGCATTTATCCACTGATGCTTCTGAAAGAGAAATTGAATCACGTTTTGCTTAAATTGTTTACCTTAGACAGTGATCTGTTTTTTAATTTTCCTGGATCTGTTACATTTGCAATCCCCAAATTACATGAATCTATTAGCTACTAAGAGGAACTGTAATTACCCCTTTGAAAGATGACTTTTTAACTTAAGACTCTGATGTCCAAGGGGACAGGCTTATGTGCCCAAGTCCTGACTTAGTTCTTCTTTTTTTTTTTAACTGAAAGTAATTAAGTCACTGGGAGTCACCTCCAGGATGATTTAGCTGTTAGCTAGTCTTTTGCAAATGTGGGGGTCCAAACTCCCCAAATCACAAGCCTAACTTATATTTCATTGTGACTTCTATACCATATGCCTGTGGGAAAATCACATGTTCTTATGAAAGAGCTGGAAATATGTATCCTCAAGCCAGGAAACAGAGACTAAGATAATGAATGAAAAAGGAAAGCCTCAGTTTGGTCTCCTAATTTTGCTTGCTCCTAGATTTTAAAAAGAACAAAAAATAAAATCACTGTGCTGATATTTACTGAAAGCAGAGTTTGGTGAGTTTTGTGGTAGACTTGCAGTGTAACAGGTATCTAGCCCTGCCTGGGCTAGCAGCCAGCTCTGTGCCATGCAACCAGTCATTTTTCCTGTTCCTGGACTCTGTCTGCACCTCTGCAAAGTGGGATTGTTGGACCAGGTCAGTTCTAGACTCCCTCCAGCTCTGAAATGTGACTCAGCTCTGCCCCAGCTCTTCCTCTTTATTAGATTCTGGGTGGAAACGGCAGGATCTTTCGTCATCTTGGGACCTAGGTCAGAGAGGACCTTTCTTCCACTGTCATTGTTGACAGCTAGAGTCATATAGGAGGTTCGGGATGCAAGCAGCCTGAGTGTGATGGCTGAACTTGGGGCCAGGGCTTTAGACGTGTTGAAAGGCCTCTGCCTCTATCCCAAGTACCCCACGTGCTACTCTGTTTCTTGAATTGACTGTCTTCCCCCTTATATCTTAAAGCCTGAGAGCGGAAGGGCCGTGCTTTCCTTTCCCCGTCTGTTCCTGGTGCCAAGCACAGCGCTGAGCACAGATTAGACACCAAATGAATGCTTCCTGGATGGACAAAGGATGGATGATGGCTGGATGGAAGGAAGACAGGTGGATGGACAGGTGCCTCCATGGCTCTGGAACCAGTTCATTTTTGAGATCTGACAGAATTTGTACCCAGTTAGGTAGTGAGTCCACTTGGCCTTTATATTCTCTTGTTCATGGGGAGTGGAATTTTCAAGGGACTTCTGATTGACTTGCTTTTTCTGTATCCTAGGGTGTTATCTCTTTAAAAAAAGAAAGAAAAAAAGGCCAGAACAGAGCTGGTCGCCTGGATGTGATTACACATCCGACAGAACTGATAGGGCCCTGCCTGCTTCCTGCAGGGATACGATACGCTTGTCACTGACCAAAGAGACTCAGTCATCTGGCTCAGTCTCTCCCTGGATAAGTAACTTTGAGATGTGTCCAGTGGTCCTTGGCAAACTGTCAGGAGATCAGGTGTAGAGCTGATTGATGGATTTGCCTTTTTAAATCTCTGAAGACTTTCCTATACACACACACACACACACACACACACACACACACACAGCCTCAAACTCTGGGGAAATTGGCTTCATCCTCTGAGAGCGTCTGTGCTGTTGGAATGCCTGCCTGTGTCTTGGCATCACCTCCGTGCTGGGATGTGTGTTTGCCATTTGCATCCTTCACTCCTGAGGACCATGATGAAATGTGAAATGGACTGGGACCCAGTTCCTATGCACCCAGTCTGCACTGAGTAGGCGCCAGCTGTGTGCAGAGCAGTGGTCTGGCAGGGGACAGGGCCTGTGAGCCCCGTGGCAAAGGCCTTCTCTCTTTTAGTCTTAGAGTATGCCTTGTGATGAACCATTACAGCTTCGAGGAAAGAAATCGCACCCAAATTCCTCATGAGGGTTCGTGTCCCCACCCTCCTCCATTCTCCTGACGCTTTGAAAGGAAACCATCTAGTACCAGCTCCAGGCTCCTCGTCTGCTAGACCAGTTCTTGACTCCTTCGGCTCTGAAATGTGGTTCAGCTCTGCCCCAGCTCTTTCTCCTTGTTAGATCCTGGGCAGAAATGGCAGGGTTTTTCCTCATCTTGGGTCCCCAGGTCAGAGAGAACTCCTATTATTACTAGAACTATCTAGTATATAGAACATATATTGGGAAACTATACAGGAAAATCATTTTCAAAACCACCTATAATTTCCCACCTAGACAACTGCTATTTATGTTTTGGTGTATTTTCTTACAGACTGCATTGTCAGTGGGCCCTTAAAATGCCGTGGAGCTGTGTGCCATGAGCTAAGTTAAATACTGTGAAACTGAGGGGCCAGATGCTAGTGAAGGGTTTTTCTTTTTTGTTCGCCTTGGAAAGAGGAGCTCAGGGCTGGGGGACACTCGGTGTTGCATGGATCCCCTGGACTTCCAGACAGAGATTTTTGAGGTAGAGTTGGGGTGTGGCTGTGGCAGGGGTAGGCAACCAACCTTCTCTCCTTGGAGTCTCTTCTGCCCTCGAAGGCTGACAGCTTACTCTCTCCCACTGCTTAAGAGGAAGGCATCAGGGCCAGGTTTGACCTCCGGCACACAGGGCCACTCCGTGGGAGCCTGCATCTCCGCCCTGCTGACTTGCAGTGTTTGCTGTTTCCAGGGGAGGCCAGTGCCTCCACGATGTGGGATAATAATGCCTGGATGTTCTTCTACGACAACAGCACGGATGGCGAGCCGCCGTTTCTCACCCAGGACTTCATCCACGCCTTCCAGCCCAACGCCAAGCTGATTGTCATGCTCAGGGACCCTGTGGAGAGGTGAGCAGTTTCCGTGTTTTGTATTTGGGGTCAAAAGAAAAGGCACTTTTGAAGAATGGTGTTCCCCTCTCATCACAAATAAGATTCTGTCTCCTTTAGAAAAAATTAAACTGGCTGAGTGCGGTGGCTCACACCTGTAATCCCAGCAATTTGGGAGGCCGAGGTGAGTGGATCACCTGAGGTCAGGAATTCAGGACCAGCCTGGCCAACATGGTGAAACTCTGTCTCTACTAAAAATACAAAAATTAGCCAGGTGTGGTGACACACTCCTGTAGTGCCAGCCACTCGGGAGGCTGAGGCAGGAAAATCACTTGAACCCAGGAGATGGAAGCTGCAGTAAGCCAAGATGGTGCAACTGCATTCCAGCCTGGATGACAGAGCAAGATTCCAGCTTAAAAAAAATAAATAAATAAAAACAAAAAACAATAAACAGAACTTGCAATCTTACTGCTATTTCTTACGTAAATGTTATTCTTGGGGCAGTCCTCGCAAGTTTAAACACATTGCAGATTGTTTTCTTAGCCATTCTGATCCTGGTCGGTGCGACTTCAGCCCCGGTGGGCTTGACCGGGGACACAGGACTGATCCTTGGTACTGTCAGGGCTCAGGAAACACCCTTAGAATCAGGGGTGTAAGCTGCCCCATGTGGTTTAACTCCTAGAATTCTGTGTCTCTCGGTGTGGTTGATGACTTTATCCTTGTCTGCATTGAATGTAGTTTCTAGCTTTCCTTGAGAGACCTAAAGGAAGAACAATGATGAGTAGAGCAGCTTTGCTTTAAGATCAAGGGATGCCCAGTGTGGGTGAGGCCAGGGCAGTGGGATATTGAATAGCCATAAGGGGCGGCCTGGCTGACACTGGGCGCTACCTGCATCACTGATGCCTGTGTGAATGTAGAATCTCAAGGCTGCCAGGACCTTAAAGTTATACTGAATACCACCACATCAGAGATAAGGGGGCGCCCAGTCTAATCTAATCTGCTCCCTGAGTCAGGGAATTCTCCACCCTATGGAGATGGCCAGTGTAGCTTAGGATAGCCCTGTATTTTAAGACGAGGTCTGTTTTGGGGGAATATTCACTCATTCGTCCTGTTTCTTCTCCATACAGTCAGACAAACCAGGTCTAATCCTTCCAAAATAGGAGAGGCTGATGATATTTAAAGACAGGGACCTGGCAGCCCCAGGAAACTGACCCCTGGGATCCCTTCCTTGGGTGGCATACCTTCCTGGCCCCACATATTCGCCAATTATAATAATAAGGCATGTTTGTTGTGTAAATTTCAGAACGTATATTGGAAAACTGTTTTCAAACTATAATTTCCCGCCTAAATAACTACTATTTATGTTTTCGTGTATTTTCTCCCAGACTTCTTTTCTATGCAACTGTGTGTGTGTGTGTGTGTGTTTGCATGTGGGTGTGACGGTACAGTCTTATGTCCTGTTTCTTTCACTTTGCATTGTTGCCCCCAAAGAACATGCTTTAAAGTTGGCCCTGGTCACAATTCTGAGCTGATGTCCCTCTTGTGGAGTCTGCGTGGCTCCTGCCGCTCTTTGACCTGGCCAGGGAGAGGCTGGATCCGCCCTCTCTAAGCCCTGCCCCCTGAGCCTGAGCTCTCAGTGGCTATCCCGGTGCCATCCCTTCCGGCACGTGCCAGGTATACTTTTGCTCCCTGCTCTCTGTGTCTTCCAGCTCAGGACTCTGTCCACTCTCTTCTGAGGCAGCCGCCAACTTGCTGTCCCTTGCCATGTCCTACCTGCTGGTTCCCACATTTTGGAGGCAGGAATTGGCCCTGCCAAGTGGGCTGGGCTGGTCTCTCTCTGTCCATCGGGGCTGACACACACCAGTGGAGCTCTCATGGTGACATAGCTGTCACCTCGAGCTGACCCCTCACCACTCCCAGAGGTGTTTTCATAGCTGCTCTGCCTCCCTACCCCACAAGACCCCCAGCTGAAGACCGCAAGTGCTCTGTGTGCTCAGCAAATGTTTTCCTGCCGCTGTTCCTTAGTTCCTCATTCTGAGGAAGGTCAGACCACGCCTCAACCTCAGGGGCCAGGAGCGCACACAGCAACCTTGTGTGCTCTCTGGGCACGGAGAGGTGAGGGCTGATCTGTCGGGACTGGGTTTGGTGTGTGTCTGCCCTGTTCTGGGCTCCGGAAGACTGGAGCTCCTGGACTGCGTAGGGCCAGGGGCGTGGTTGTGGTTGGTTGCAGTTCTGCAGAGTAGGAGGATGGGGAAGTGGGCTCCTGAGCGGGGAGATCCAGAAGGAACTGACCTGGAGAAGCTGATGCCAGACCGGATTTTGAAGGGTGAATAAGAGTTTGCTGTGTAAGCAAGGGAGGAAGGCGGGTTAAGAGGAAGAAGCGTTCCATGCAGAGAAGCACAAGTACAAGGGAAAAGACAGCGTGTTCTCCTGCTAGGGGGTGGAGCCAGGGTCCCTGAATGTGTCTCTTCCTGGAGTTCTGGTCCCACCTCTGAGGACACCAACACCACAAAGGTGAGCCTTGGAACAGGAAGACAGCAGCACTGTGCAGGTGCAGGGGGCTCAGCCAGGAGCAGGACCTGCCAACTCGTCTCTCTTACCCTAGCCTGAGTCTGCCAGCTAGAAGGAAGCTCACAGTTCACAATGCGGTCCTCCCAAGTAGCCACCATATTTTCTTCTTTTTAAAAACAAATACTCCATTTATACTAGGAACTGAACGTAAAAGTTTCTTGCCTCCCTGGTCCTTAGCCTAACAGAAATAGTTGGTCAATTCAAACATATATTATATTCAGCCCCTGCCATGGGCTGGGTGCTGTGCTGGGCACTGAGCATATGTGCCCTGGTGAACAATGATGGTGACACAGTGCCTCCCACCTGGGAGCAGGTGCTTTATCGGAGAAGTGAGGGGCCTTGCCTTCGTCAGGGCACATGCCCCCGTGCTGAGGAGCAGGGCAGGACACGGGGCAGTAGCATGTTAGGACACTGACCCAGGCCTTGCTTTGGCTGCGGTACTAGTTACGTACTGCTGCAGAACCAGTTCACCCAGCACTTAGCAGCTTCAGACAGTCTCTGGGGATCAGGAACCCATGTGCAGCTTTACTGGGTCCTCTATTTCAGGTTTCTCACAAGGCTGTGACCCAGCTGTCATCAGGCCTGGGCCTCTTCTGTATGCTTGACTGGGGAAGGACCTGCTTCCAGGCACATAGGCTGTGGGCAGAATTTAGTCCTTAAGAGCTGTTAGAATGAGGATTTCATATCTTTGCTGGCCTTTGACGAGAGGCTACCCTCAATACCTTGCCACAGGGCCTCTCCAGTATGGCTGCAGGCTTTATCCAAGCCAGCGAGCTAGAGTGTCTGCTAGCAGATTAGAAGTCATGATCTTTTCTAATCTAGTCATGAGTGTGAAACCCCATCATCATTGCCATATTCTGTTGGTTAGAAGCAGGTCATGAGGTCTAGCTGCACCAACGGAAAGAGACTACAGGGTGTGAACACCAAGAACCGGGTGTCAGCAAGGACCGTCTTAGGAGTCAGCCACCTCCCATTCTGCACCTGCTCCTCAGGAGACTGGGGCCTGGGCTTTGTGGCCAGGAGAGTAGCTTCCAGCTTGACCCCAACTCCAGTGACAGAGGAAGGGTGTGTTATGTGCATATTTTCTTTGTAAGTTACTGACATAGCAGCTGTTTCACTTCTTCTTAAACATTTATAAAAATACGTGACAATGGGAATTTCTTCTTTTTCGAAACCCATGACTCATGGCCTATCTGAAATGGCTGGCTTGTCTCCCATCTCAGCCAGAAAGGATGATAAATGCTGTGTGTTTAGGTCACTCTTAAAGAAACAAAACACTTTGAGCCCAAGTTCCATTAGTCTAACGGGATCCTGGGCCATTAGCCCACTTCCGTTCTTCCGTGACCTTGTACTTCTGTAAGCAGGAGATTTTGTGGGGTGCTGGCTGCAAGTGGGATTGGCCCAAGCTGTTCTGTTCCTTCTGTAAATTGGCTTGGAGCCGGGGAATACCACTTTTATTTCTAGTTTTAGGTTCGTATTCAGCCTTTACTTCTATAATTGATCAAAGGTAGAGGGTTTGAAAATGTTGGGATTGTAAGCAAAGTCAAATCACTTTTTAATTTCCAGAGAAGGATTCAAGTGGCAAGTCCATATTTTTTTTCTGGAGGAGAACAGCAGAATAATGGAAAGAAGTGGATGGGATGGTTCATATGGCCAAAGAAGCCAGCCAAGAATTCATGTTCCAGTTTTCTCTCTGTAAGAGATCATGACAATTTAAAACTAGCTTGATGCATTTCTATGCTAAATTGGCCCAGTTAATTAAAAAGAAGCCACCAATTGTAAGCAGAATTTTTCTTTATTTAATCCCATTCGTAAGTGGTAAAGACGATTCTTTTCAAACACATCTCACATTAGCCTCCTGCCTCTTCATTTGTGAGACAGTTGATAGAGTTTGTCTTGTAATTCAGAGGCGGTTATAGCCCCCATTAAATGTGAAAAATGCGCAGAAGGTGCTGGCCCCTCCAACCTAGCTGCATTCCTCTTTTATTCAAGGGACATTTGGAGTGGGGTCATGCACCATCTGTTAAGGACTTTACAGTGTCTGTATTTTGTTTTTAATTTTGTGTGTAGCCTTAATGTAATGCCCAGAAACGACCACCACAGGAATGGTTAGTTTTCCCATTTTATGATGATGAGTCCAAAGGGAAGGAGAATTCAGCTCAGTTAAGAATTCGAACTCGATTTTTACCCAAACCCCTTCAATCTTGGAACCTGGCCAGTTGTTTTCTTCATCTGCTTATATAAACGGAATTTTTAAGCAACCCCTTGCACTGGTCAAATGGTTCATTTATGAAGATAAACTAGGAAAGGAAGCAGGCTTTTAACGAAATGGATTCTGTTATAGGCAGTCGCTCATGGGGACACGGAGGATTAGTGGGCTGAACATTTGGACAGGAATCCTGGTTTCATCAGCTACACTCTGTCTGCAGAGTGTGTGAGGGGGCGTCAGG